AATATAAGTTTTATTGTTTAAAAGTATATTTAGTTAGAAAAATGGTTCCTATAGACAGTGCTCGAATTGGGAAAAATTAAGTAGCAGAGCTCAGTCCAACGATTTGAAAACAGCGTTCTGCGTGCACAATTATTTAACAAATATTCGTGGGGGGCTTCGTCCCCCCCTCCGCCAACCTTACATATATTTTGAATACCACTTTTCAGCTAAACAAATATTTAAATTCCAAATATAACATATTTTGATAGTAATACCAACATCCTACATGTTACAATAGAAAATAAAAATAAAATAATAATTAACATAATTGTAGACGATCAGACAGTCTCATGAATCGAATTATATAATCATATATTTGGCTTTTGTTTTTATCTATTTTTACTCTTTCGTGCGGGCCACGGCCTTAGAAAATAAGTATATGATCGTTGTGCGGGCATTTATTTTTTTCCGAAATGACGATATCGCCGATCGCCAATATTAATAATTATTAAATAATTAATTAATAATTAATTAATAATTAATAAATCGTACAATGTATAAAGTATAATACACCAAATTCACAGATATTGCTATTTATATTTTTCCAGAAATGACGGCGTTGTCCCTTATCATAAACACCATATAATCTTTAATTATAAAAATAGTTTTGATATTATAAATCGTAAAATTCGTTTTCAAATTGACGTAAATAGAAATTCACATAAAAATTATGCTAAAATTAAGCTAAATTGTGTTTAGTATTATTTCAAAATAACATGTCATTTACTAATAATTGCCTTTTTCTATGTTTAAAACGTTTATTTAACATATTAAAATAAAAATGTTAAGAGAAAAATATGTTGTGCTGTGTGCTCCTTTAATTACATAGGTACCTATCTAAATATTTTAATTGTTTTTCTATAGGTTTCCATATTGTCATTTTCCTTATAAGAAAATAATAACCTACTGGTATACCTACTATACCAAATTGATTAAATATTAAATAATAATAAGTTAGTGTTCAATAATAGTAATAAGTGTTAAATAATAATAAATTCAATATGATTTGTTTTATATGTAGAACTAATTTTCCATTATTATCAACATTGGTAGTCCATTACAAAATGATTCATATGTTAAAGCCTTCTAGTACATATGAATGTATTGAAAATCACTGTACCCAAGCCTTTCCTAACTTAGATAGTTTAAAAAAACATGTCATGAGAAAACACTTGAAACCCACCCCAAAAAAATTAACTCCTGTTGTAAAAAACATCAATAACACTGCAATACCTGAACACATCACCAAAATAATCAACTCTGATTCAATTGAATCAGATGTATTTAAAAATGTATTACCTGTTACTGAGTGTAGAAATGAACTTGTTAGTGAACATTTTAGTATTGATAATGTTATTCATTTAGTATATCAATCAGCAATTCATTTTACAATGTCACTACATAATAATAATAATTTTAATTTTATATATATTTTTAATTTATAATAATAATAATAAAAGATGTAGTAAATATACAGAAGGAAGTTTCACAAAGTCTGATTAAACCTATAACTGATCTATTAACAAATTTTGTAAATTATAAAATCAAAGACCCATTATTACTATCATCATTTCATACTTTCATTTCCGCTTTTTCTATACCTTTTAAACTATGCAGTTCTGAATATATGTTAAATAAATGGTTAAAAAATAATAATCTATATTCTGATATTCATCAATTCACTATTAATAATGAAATTAAATTAGTTTCTGCTTTAAGTGAAACTACGTATAGTGAACAAACTACAAAAGGTATTTTAATGGCAATAGATTTTCAATTTAAATCATATTTTGAACATAATGATAATTTATTAAAAACTTTAACACATTACGATTATTTGAAAAAAAACTCTGATGGCACAAATTTGGAACATTTTGTCCAGGGAGCTTTATGGAAGGAAAAAATCATTCCTTATAACAAAATTAAAATAAAATAAAATAAAATAAAATTGTAATACCATATTTTTTATATATTGATGATTTTGAGGTAAATAACCCTTTAAGTTCGCATTCATCTTATCATTCCATTTGTGCAATTTATTATAGTTTCCCATTAAGCGACCAATCTAAGCTAACAAATATATTTATCGCAGCTTTACTCAAATCTGTCGATGCTAAAAATTTTGGCAATGATCTATGTTTAAAACAATTAATTAATCACTTAAATAAACTTGAAGTTGATGGTTTACTAATCAAAACATCAGAAGGAATAAAAAAAGTTTACTTTGTTTTAGGTTTGGTTGTTGGAGATAATTTAGGATTAAACTGTATTTTAAAGTTTAGTAAATCTTTTTCCGCGAATTATTTTTGCAGATTTTGTAAAGAAAAAAAATGTATTACCCAAAAAGCAAGTACAGAGAATGTGTTATTACTTCGTAACTATCATAATTATTATGAAGACATAAATAAAAATGATTTCAAACAAACTGGGATTAATAAAGAACCAATTTTACATCAATTAACTTCTTTTCATGCCACTAAAAACTACAGTATTGATCTAATGCATGACATTTATGAAGGAATCTGTCATTATAACATGTGCCACATCATAAAATATTACACAGATAGTGTAAAAATATTCTCTTTGCAAACTTTAAATCTAAGAATGAAAAATTTTAACTATGGTTCTATTGAAATTGGTAATGTCTAACCTGATATTTAATTACATAATATACAAAATTTCCACTTAAAAATGACTGCTAAAGAAATGATGACTTTTTTACATTTTTTTTCTCTAATGATAGGTGATTTAGTCCCAGATGACGATCCTGTATGGTTATTTTTTTTAAATTTTTTGGAAAATTAGAATAGTAGATATTCTACTTTCAAACCAAATAAAAAATAATTCAATAATTCGTTTAGAACAACTTATAAAACAACAACATTTAGATTACGTTTTACTTTTTCAAGATACGTTAAAACCTAAACATCACATTCTTTTACATTATCCATTAGTCATTCGACAATCTAGACCTCCTAAACATTTTTGGAGTTTCAGATATGAAGCTAAGCACAAAAACCTAAAAACATATGCTCGAAATATAAGCTCTAGGAAAAACATTACGATGTCATTGGCTATAAAATATCAATACAAGTATGCATTTAACATAATGAATAGTAAAAATAATAATAATAATAAAAATATTGAACTTGATGAAAAATATAAAATAATAAGTAATGACATAGAATTTTTACAGAGAATTTTTGGTTTTCCTTCTGATAATTTGTTAAGTTACTCTCAAATTGAATATAAAGGCACAACTTATAAAATTGGGTATTATTTAACAAATTTTGTTGATGAAGTTTGTCTTTATGAAATTTTAGAAATTATCATTGACAAAAATAATTTAACTGTTATATTTGTAGTTAATCAAATAGAAATGGATTTCTATTGCCCTCATTTAAAATCATATAAAGTAAATAATGATAAAAATATAATTCTTAAAACTGTATTAAATCCTGAAAATTGTAGTGGACCACCAATTAATATTAATTCACTTATTAATGGAGATTTGGTTGTACGATTAAAAGAATATTATTAAACGTTTGTTTTATATGAATATAAAATATAAGTCTTAGTTATAAATTTTGTTTTTAATTAACTTAAGTTTAAAATGTGGATATATTTTACTATTTATTGTACTTGTATATTTAAAATGTATAGTTTATATTGAGGTTAATTTAATGGTTAATGTAAATATAATTTTTATTTTTTTAAAAAAAATAACAATTACCTATTGAGTTTTACATAATTTTCTGACTTTTTTTTAAAAATGTTCTAACTTTAACTGCAGTAAATGTATAACAAATAAAATAAAATACATAAATTATTATTTTTTCTGTGTTGCCCAACTATAGATAATAATTATTATAATATTATAAAGGATCAAATGGATAACTGGGAAAATGATGATGTACTTTTAAATTACACTGAATTGCAACATAAAACAGAAAATAATATACTGGACATGGATGAACAGAGATCTACAATAAATCAGATGACATTGTCAATACCTCCAATACCTAACATGTCAAATGATGAATGTATGAAAGTTTGGAACATTTTACAATCATGGAGTCTAGAATGTGTGTATAAAACATGTATAGGTAAGAATAATTGAGTAATTTTTTTATTAATTTATATAGCATATTTTTGGTTTTTGTTGTTACAGATCAATGTATTGATACTGAAATGATGAAGTATATGAATTGTAAACATATTAGATTATTGTTGGTGAATTTTCCTCTTGGTATACAAATAAAGTTTGAAAAATATATTCATGATTATCAAAACAAAGAAGTTGAACAACATCAAATTCCATTCTTAAAACCAAAATCAATTCCAGTATCTACAGCACAAAATATTGTTCCAACAAATGAAAATATATTTGATCTAAATCAAATTCTGACAAAAAGTTCACAAGGTTCTATGGTTGTCGACTATTACTTTAAAAATAAAAAATTGAATGAATCGTGTCGTACACTATTAGTGGAGCTCATTATTAATGATTTAATCAAAAAAAATCGTACTATGACTATAGATTTAGCTAGTAATATATCAAATGCCATTATTATGTCTTTTCCAACAGAAATAAAGGTAAGAACTTTTTTAACTGTTGATTTTTTTTATTATTATACTGTAAAAAATACTGTGTTTTATATTGTGAACATATTGATTTAAAAATTGACATGAATTCATTAATTAACTTGGTAATAATTATACTATTTTTCATCATTTTTATTTTTTATTAATTTTAGGATGTTTATTTTTTGAAAGATGTTACTTGCAAAGCTCCTAAAGGAAAAGTTTATGTGAAATACTTCAACACTATGAAGAAATTAAAAAATGGAGGCTTAAAATCAGGAAACAATAATACATCTGAGGTTAAGAAAATTATTTATAGATCCGAAGATTTACTTAATTCTTCGTTAGGTATTTATAATATGCATAAAAGTAATTGATATCTATTAATATATTGTTCGTTACATGATTCGCACAGATATTGAACCTGATTCAGAAGATATGGCTCTTACTTTATTAAATAATAATGATTTGTCTTGGCCTGAAATAGAAGTAATATGGCGAAAAACAATTAATTTCCAACTTCAATATATAAGGAACAATGATACAGCAAGTATTTTTAGTAAATGGGTACATTACACAAAGCCAATGGGCTACAAATTAGTAAGTTATCAAAAAACTTTTAAATTTTTATCAAAATATACATTTATAAATAATTAATAACTATAGATAGAGATTGATTTTGGTCGAATGTACACAAATTTTAAAAACTTAAATGTAAAATTTGAAAAAACCTTACCGACTTTACTGAGTATATTACATGATCGTGTCAAAGATGGTGGAAGTGTAGTTCTATTACGGCAGTTAAAAGAATCGACCAATTTATGTAAAAGTAAGTTTTAATATTAAAATTTTTGGACTACATAATGTATTCATAATTATTTAATTTATTTGTAGATGGTGAAACCTTGACTTCATTATATTTGTTACATTCATTATTTTTACCTACTACTAAAAAAGTTACTTTGGATGAACAAGGCAAAAAATCAACAATCAAATATTCAATAAAAGATTCACAAAACTCATTCATCATCATAGCACATACTGCAGTAGAACTGGAATTAATTTTAGAAAAACTTAAAAAACAAAAAAATAACATACAACCTTGTATTTTAATTGTTGGGTCATTATTAAATCCTATCCAAATACTTATTTACTTTGATGATATAAAATATAAAGTATTCTCAGCAATTAAAGCCGTAGACATATGTTTGAAAATTTTCCATGTATTCAATTTAGAATATCCTTTACAGTGCAACAATGTATGGTTGTTTTTACAAATTTATTATTATGAAATTGTGACAAAATATGATAGGAGTTGTAGTTTTATCAGACAAATTTGTTCAGAATTAAATACAAATTTATTGAATTCAGATTTGAGTGGTTAATTACATTTGATTATATTAAATATTTTGTTTTTATTTTGATTATACAGTCAAAACTTTTTTTTATACTTTATATTTATGTTGTATGTGGGATATTCGAATATATAATATATTCTATTGTCTGATAATTTTATTTTACTTAGGTACCTACTACAATTAAAAGGAGTTAAATTATATATATTTAGTTTTTATATTTTTATAGGTATATTTTTACATATTTTGTGCTATACCTGTACAATTTTATAATTAATTCATTTTGTATTGATTTTCTATTAATTAATATCTGTTAGTGTTAACAATGATTTAGTATATAGTATATAAATATATTGTATGTATATAAATGTAATATATAATAAATTATAATTAACCTGTTTGTAATATCAATGATTATTATATTGTTTCTACCTTAAAATGTATTGATATGTATAAACAACAGTTTGTTAAATCAAAAATAATTTTGTTAATCTTACATATTTGTTTGTATAATGTACTTTACTATCTATAGTAAAAATAATAAAAGGTTTGTTGATATGAATAAATCAGTGTTTTGATTTGAGATAACCATGGTTGGTATTATTAACAATTACTTGGTTAATTTTACCAATATTCAAATCAACAGAGTGGTTGGTTAATATGACCTTAATTGCCTTGTAATATTAATAAACGGTTTGTTGACCGTATTTCAACGAACAGTTTGTAAATCCAACCTAACATTTTCTTAATAATATCTAGATATTTCTCTGGGTGTAGGTAATGAAACCAATTGCAACAGGGCTAGATATTTTACAAGGTGAACAATATGTATGTATTGGATATCTATTACCAATAATTACAGCTATAAACAAAGCCTTAAATTGATTTAATAATATAAATTTCTGTAGATCATTGGTTCATGCTTTAAAAATAGATTAACCAAAAGGTACTTTCATACATTTTTAAATTTTTACAATAATCATTAGAACTCAATGAAAAATGATATATGTACGCCAATGTTAGTCATAAAAGTTAAAACTTATTTATATAATTAAAATGGTTCAAAAATGTTTTACAGATCAATTTAATAAATAACGTTTATATTATTATCACCCTATATAGCCTATATATTTATAAATTTAAAATTTATAAATAATAATGCACTTATAATATTTAACAATTCTTAAGTTAAAATTGAATTATATCATTATAATATGTTACATGGTACATTAAATATACATTATATTTTCAGGTTTAAAAATTACATGCAGTAAAAAAAATACAAGTTTCTTCGGCATTGGTACCAAAGTTTAAATTAATTTGGGCTTATCTCGAAGACAGAAGCATCATAAAACAACATGTTATTGATCGTATGCAATTTCATTTCGATCAAAACAAAAATCTTTCTTCTCTAAGTTCTTCAAATCTCGAAACAAACAAGAAGATGAAGATGATTTTTTTCAGTTTTTCCATTGATGAAATCTCAGTAATTAACCCTGATTTCCAAACTTTAGTTACTAATTATTTATCAAATATTAACATTAATGTATCACTTGATTTAACACTTGAATTAAAAAAAGCTTATATAGAATTTAACACAGCTATACCATCATCTGCACCTGTAGATAAATTATTTAGTGCTAGTGGTCAATTATCCCACTGTGCAATGAATTGTTGTATAAATGTTTCAGCGAAATTTTACTGGAACCTGCAGGCGCGGATTCAGGGGGGTGGGCTATGGGTGCTCGGGCACCCCCTGTCGCCTTGGTCACCAACAAAATAAATTTATATTATAAATTATGTTATTTCTTATTTTTCAAAATAATAATAATAATAATATATAATATCGGTTATTCCGTTATCGGAATTTAAATAATTTAATATCAGATATCAAAAATAGATTTTTAGGTCACGGACACGAAACGATTATGTATTTACAATATTTAATACCATTTTTCCTACTTGAAGATACAGATATCGAAAAAATTATTAAATCGGCCAAATTTTATATCGATGATCTAATTGGCTCGATAGAAGAGGTTAGAGGTGAAGTTACTTTGTGGAAACAGTTTTGGAAATCCCAATTAGATAAACCTAAAACTGCTATAGAAGCTTTGACTCATGCATCTGAATTTTATCCTAATATAAAGGAATTGCTAAAAATTATTTGCGTTATACCAGTTACCACTTACACCGCAGAAAGAATATTTTCCTCACTTCGACAAACAAAAACATATTTAAGATCAACAATAGGAGAGGATAGATTAAATGGACTTATGCTTCTTAATATTCATAGGGATATTAAAATTACTCCAGAGGAAGTTATTGAAGAATTCAATGAAAAACACCCAAGAAAATTACAGTTACAATATATGTAAGAAATTATTGTTATTTTTAAGTTTATATTTAATAAATACTGATGTATGAAAAAAAAGTTAGCACCAATAAATCAAATAGAAAATATTAATTTAAATAAATAGAAAGGTGTAACAATCTTTTTTTTTTTGAGCACCCCCTGTCAAAATTTTCTGGATCCGAACCTGGGAACCTGTAACATCGCAATGCGAGTTGCATATGTGTATGAAAAACATTGCTGCAACATTTAATGCCCTGTTTTTGCTGACACTGAAGAAACATTGTAAGCACATATTTTGAAATATAAATGCATTGTTTTATTGCAATGCATACCCAATGTGTTCAAGTAATCTGTATATAACATCAAAAAATACATACCTATAATGTTATGTTGACACATTACTCCACTGTGCAATATTATGTTGCATAGATGTTTCAAATCAAGTTAATAATTTAATTATTTTAAAACGAAAAAAATGAAAAAATAACATTCAATATTGGGAATGAACCACTGCTAGATGATAATCTCCATATCTACCTACCCAACTGACCTACGCCTAACACCTATTAGCCTACACCTAACATGAGAAGTACGTTGTAAAATTATTGTATTTATACCTATACTATACTATTTTCAGAATCGTATTTTTACAGCAAAGATTAAAGACTGTTTCGAGTCCGCCAGACATTAGTATTGTTGTAATAAAAAGTTATTTTATAAAATAAAGATTAAGATACTCTATATTATAAAGTGGATACCATACATTTATATTTTCTAATACTTCACGGAGAAAAGAAAATTAGACATATCTTCATTATGTGAACATAATTACTAATTAGGTAGGTTACCTACCTGCTTAACATAATATGAACCACAATAATTGTATTTTGTGTCATAATCGTACAAACAAATAAAATAGGTGGCAAATTTAGTTATATAGATATGTTCATCATAATCAAATTCCATTTTTTTTAAGTAGGAAATAGACACATAATTAAACATTCATTATGTATATTATAAACGCACGCCAACAGTAAGATGACAGTTTTAAACTGTTAGAATACGCCAATCATGAATAACATTTTGATTCCAAATTTAGAAGTTACAACAAATGATTAAAATCTATTTAGGTAGTCAAAAATAAATGTAAACCGGTATTATGACGGCACTTGAAAAACGATTCCGAGTAAAACATATCGAATGGGTCAGTTTATTTATAAATTATTTGAAATTTGTAAGAAACAACTTCATGATATCGTATACATGTTTCATTGTAATATCATGTCACTGATAAATCATAAACATTTAAAGAATGTTAACATGTGCATAGAAATGTGCCCACTGTGTATTGGAAGTTACAAAACATTGATGCTATGTTGAATTCAGGTTTCAAGAAAACATTACCAATTAACATCAGCACGATATTCTATAACTGTTTTATAAAAATAATATTTTTCGTGTCAACAACTAACATTCTTTAAATGTTTATGATTTATCAGTGACATGATATTACAATAAAACATGTATACGATATCATGAAGCTGTTTCTTACAAATTTCAAATAATTTATAAACAAACGGACCCATTAGACATCTTTTACTCGGAATCGTTTTTCAAGTGCCGTCATAATACCGGGTTTTACATTTATTTTCGACTACCTAAATAGATTTTAATCATTTGTTGTAACTTCTAAATTTGGAATCAAAATGTTATTCATGATTGGCGTATTCTAACAGTTCAAAACTGCTCACATTCACATACGAGTAGACATCTTACTGTTGGCGTGCGTTTAAAATATACATAATGTATGTTCAGACTACTAATAGAATGGTAAGTTACATTCATTTATAAAAAATACTAAATAGCATGGTTATTATATTATTATTTGGTGATATTATTTATTCTATTATTTATAATTTAGGTCCCAATAACCAAAAAATTGTTGATAGGGAGTTTCACTGAGACTAACGAATTCAGCGTTGTACCAAAAAATTGGTTAAGTAAGACAGAAGGCCCAGATAGCCGTACTATTATTTTCTGTAAATGACCACCACCTCCAACTATAGTGTCTAGTGACATTATTAATTCAGCAATTGAACCAGGGACTGATTGGCCAAGCTATAAAATTCGGTTGGCAAATAATGGTAAAGAATTTAGTAAGTATCTTTAACTATTATTCATATAATTTACACAACTACAAGTTTAACATAATACCAAATGTTATTTTGACTCTACCTACAACTTCCTAACTTAAATGATTACAAATCTCAATTATAGGTAATTTTAAGAAAGCATGGCACCATAAATTTGTTTTGAGCTCAGATTCATCTACTACTGAAGTTGATGAGTCAAATAATAAAAAAATATGTAGCCAAGCTCAAAATCTAATTTTGATAAAGAGTCAAATTCAGGAGAATCTGAAGAAGAAGGTAAAGTATAGACCTATATATATTATATATTAAAATATTTATTTTCTATTATGTTCCCCTATTTTATTCTAAACCTACACAACATGAAAATATTTATAATGATTGTTTAAATTAACAATTATATTTTATTTAGGATATTATATATTGGAGATGCAGAGTGAAGAGAAAAATACACACAGTATATTATCTACTGCCAACTCCAATTAGCAAATGGTAAATTATAATAGCTATATACCTATCCATTTCATTTTTAAATATTCAGGTTTATTTTAGTTTCTATATTTTAATTTAGAGTTTATAATGTTTTTTATACCTATTATGATTTAATTAAGTTTAACTTAATTTTATTTTAATCATACAGAATTATAAATACATAATATCAAATTGTAACTCAATACCTAAACTATACTTTATTTTGTATATTTCTATATAATTCCAAAGAATTCCAGTCAATCACTGAGTATCCAAACAAATAGATCCTTGGAAGTTCCACAAGCCGTAAAATATGGCTTTAATCAGTATGACATGACATATGCACAGAATAATAGTCTACTTGAAACTACTGTTCCACAAGTCTCCGACAAACAAATGGTAATTATAATGATAATTTATAAAATAATAATAACTTAACTAAATAAGTTTAGTACTTAATAAATAATTGATAGTCATTTTAAGTGTTCAACTGCAATATAATAGGTATATATTTCTAATAAAAAGTATATGAAAAAAAAATAATTACCTATTTTAATAAAATTTACTATTATTAAATTTATGTATAATATACTGATTTCTGGATTTTTTTGTGGGTGTAGTGAATGTAACTACTTTTATCATTACCTATTTATGTATAAGTTATAAGTGTTTAATACATAAAGTGTTGAATACTTGCAGAAACAAAATAAATGTGGTAGGTTCAACCTATGTATATTAACCAATAAAATATTTAAATGTATGTTTGAAAAACTTTAAAATATTAAATAATTTAATTAAAATAATATTTTTATTTAATTTACTACCTATATAAGTACAAAAAAAATGTGACTAATGTGTGATGAATATGATGTATGTGAATAAATGTGAAAAATAAAGTGTATAGGTATATAAGTAGTTATAATGAAAAGTTAGCTTAAAGAAAAAGCATATTTTATTTTAATATTAATTTTATACTACCTAATAATTGTATTTCTATAACTTTCTAAAATTTAACAGAAATTAGTTTATGGCAACAATTCATATAATAATAATTCATGGGTAGATTAAAATACTAGTTTGGATTCAAGTCATTCAACGCCTAATTTCAGTAATTCAATTTTTGCAAATTTGTTATTAACTAATACTTTTTACGAATATTAATAATTGAAATTAGGAACATATTACTTTTTAGGATTAAATCCCTCAAATAAAAATATAATGGAGAAGTTAGAAGCTATAGGCAATGAACAAAGTATTCAAAGTTTAAAGATTGACCGTCTATTATTGAAAATGGATAACATTTCACAGGCTTTAAAAAACAAAAATGATTTGATCAACCATTTCAGCATATAACACATAAGGAAATTGAAAATACAACTTCTTCTTTGTATTATAAATTAAATGACATACTTTTTGAAAATATTATTTTACATGATTTAAATATCTGTATTAACATAGTACAAAAAAAAAAACAAGTATATTATTTTACAAAATGATATGCTTGTTGTTGTTAACCATATTGTAAAACCTTATGATAAAAATGAAATCTATTTAGTTGTTCAACAGTTTATTAAATCAACTTCCTTATTTATGAGACCTACAGACTCTAAAATAATAGATTATCAAATAGTGGATACAACCTTATTATCAAATAATTTTTCTATTAATTTAAATGAAATAAAATATAAATGTATATTCATTCAAATAACTGACAATAAAGCTATTGTGACATCTTTACGCCATTCATTGTATAATAAATAAATTTTACTTTGTATTATGAATTTGTTATTGTTTTTTTATTTATATACATTTATTTATCTTGTGAAATAATTCATCATCATACTTTATAAAATAAATTTATTTTACGGATTGTTCAATGTAATATATTTCTCTTTAAACATGTATTTCAATTTATATTATTTACTTGAATAGGTATTTCTTTTGTAGTTGTGTAAAATATATTTAATATTATAATATAATGCATTGCATTTGATGAAAATATGTAATATTTATATTTGTGTTATGCTTGAGCCATTTTAGGGTATGATTAACAAAAGAAAGGTAGCCTTTAGATGCCCTTTAATTATGTGTCTAACTAATTAGTTGTTGACACGAAAAATATTATTTTTATAAAACAGTTATAGAATATCGTGCTGATGTTAATTGGTAATGTTTTCTTGAAACCTGAATTCAACATAGCATCAATGTTTTGTAACTTCCAATGTACAGTGGGATTTGACAAAAGAAGAGGATCCATTTCTGATAACAATTTTGAAATGTCTCCTTTGTTAAAATATAATAAATATTTTCAATAAAAATATAAATTATGTTTTTTCCTTGTAATTAATTAATATTGGATAGATAATATATATATTTATGTTTATATATAATATCTACACATATATGCTATATAAATGAGATTATCGATTATCTTATTTATACGTTACCTAAATGATATGTAGTGACTTTCAATAATGATTGCTGTAGTCATGACTCGACTATTTTATTATTTACCATGTTTAACAACAGTGGAAGTACAAAATTGGTGAACTTTAAATAATTGCATAATAATTCATAAGTTTGTAAAGACAACTTCTATAAATATAATTAACTATTTTAAATGTATAGTTATTTTTATATTCTATAACAGGTATATAAATTTGTTGTACGAAAAGTTTAAAGCTTATATAAAATATGTAATTTTCTAAGATATTTATTAAAGGTGTTAACATTTGTTGTTTTATTTTTATCTAAAAATATAATACAAAGTAATTATATTTTTACTGATAATAATTTTCCATGTTGTACTGAGTCTAGTCTTTTAAACTACACGGTGGCTGCATTTTGTCTACTCAGTATAGAAAATATATTTGAGTGGTTAGGTATATATAGTAGGTTATACTGCCTGTATGATTTTTAAAATTTGTATGAATTAATTAAAAAAAAAGGTATCTTAGCAGTTATGAGAAAACTATCAATTGTGTTTTTTTTTTAATTTTTGGATGTACCACTTAGGTAAATTGAATTGAGTATGAGTTAAGGACTAAGATTTATTTTAGAAAAGTAGGTTTTTTATAGCTATTTAATACTTTTATGTATCATTTTAAATTTCCCCAGTAATTTTCTTGAGCGTAAAAAAACTAATATTATGTACGCAATTTTTATTTTTGCAAATTAAAAAATTTTAACTTTAAACTAAGGTAAGTTACTTTTTTTTAAAAGTTAACTTTTTAATTTAACGAGTTAACAAAAAAAAAAAATTAAGTAACTTTTAATTTAA